CCCCAAAACCCCAAAACCCCATTAGGGAAAATAGATTCATGCCAGTATAATTAATTAATTATATTAAGCAATCGCAAATCAGTAATTCTGGTAAAAATATACCTTTAAATTGATAATTAAACTAGATAATTAAATCATGATTTAACTTAGTAAACTTCTATTTCAATCACTTTAAAGCAGTAAGTTCCTGCTAAATATTCTTAAGCTTATGAATCTCTAAATTTTAATCCTTATGGAGGCATATATGTGCCGCCCAAATCACAAGTATTATAAGCATTATCATAGTTGCAGTTATTGTTGATAAAGATGTCATGACCCCTTCCAAATATCATTAAATTGGTATGGTTATGAATTACACCTTTTTCAAAGTTCTAATATTAATTATGTAGAGAATTCTTAGTTAGATTAAATATAAATGCAGCAGCATCTTCAATATATGCACCAGGAGATGTCCAAGAGATTGAGGTGTAACCTCCAAAAACTTGGCCAGGCTCACTCAAGATGAAAGAAATTGTTGGTCCTTGGTTATCGCATTTTTAATGAAAACTGCTAGCTGTATATCCATCTCTTGAAGCTTTATAAATCAAATTAGTTTCTCCAGTTATTGGTAGTAATTTGTTTTTTACCGTTTTTATTGAACTTATTTATTCTAAGTGAAAATCAATCAATCTTCGAAATTCTAAGTAATTGGGTCTATCTTTTTCCATTATTTTTGTTAATGTCACTTATTCAAGCTCATCTTTAATCTACTTTTAATATGCTTTACTTTTCTATAGTTCTTATTGATTATTGATTTGATTAATTTATTAGAAAGCTTCGCTATAATGATAAGGTATAATAAATTACCTGAAATTAGAAATAAAGTGTAAGATATCTGTATTCTCTTTAAAGCTATTTTTAAGTTCATCATCAAGATCAGATTACTGAATGATATAGCAATTTTTATTTATCATTTTCTCAATTTCACTAGCACTAAAGCTTCTTTCTTTATTGATGAAAGAAT